ACAAGTGTGAGGGAATGGGTGGCTCACCAGCCCGCCAAGGTGCTGAGTGAGCAGAATTTGGGTGTGGACAGCTCTCCCTTTGGCGCATCATTTGCAGGGGGAGGGAGTGCCGCACCTCCCTTAAACACCTACGAGGTGTCAGGTACTATAGGGCATATCATGGCCATTTTCTCTTTGATTCCATACAAGAATTCTGTAAGGGAGAAATTGATTATTGCCTTTTTTTTTTTTTGAGATGAAGTTTCACTCTGTCACCTAGGCTGGTGTGCAATGGCACGATCTCTATCTCAGCTCATTACAACCTCCACCTCCCAGGTTCAAGCAATTCTCCTGCCTCAGCCCCCCGAGTAGCTGGGATTACAGGCACCTGCCACCACACCCAGCTAATTGTGCACTTTTAGTAGAGACAGGGGTTTGTTTTCTTTTTTTTTTTTTTTTTTGAGACGGAGTTTTGCTCTTGTTACCCAGGCTAGAGTGCAATGGTGCGATCTCAGTTCACCACAACCTCCGCCTGAACCTGGGTTCAGGCAATTCTCCTGCCTCAGCCTCCTGAGTAGCTAGGATTACAGGCACGCACCACCATAACCAGCTAATTTTTTTGTATTTTTAGTAGAGACGGGGTTTCACCATGTTGACCAGGATGGTCTCGATCTCTTGACCTCGTGATCCACCCGCCTCGGCCTCCCAAAGTGCTGGGATTACAGGTGTGAGCCACTGCGCCCGGCCCTGAGACAGGGTTTCACTGTTGTCCAGGCTGATCTCGAGCTCCTGGAGTCAAGTGATCCACCCGCCTCAGGCTTCCAAAGTGCTGGGATTACAGACATGAGCCACCACACCCAGCTTGATTATTGCCTCTTTACAGATAAGTAAACTGAAGTTTAGAGAGAGATGAAGCCACTTGCTCAAGGAAATAATAGTACAGAATTGTACCTGGGTCAGCCTGTCCCTGAAATGCATGTTCTCTGCCCCACACCACACCTATGGGCTCTTTTGCCTTTGGTCTTACTCTGAGGTATCTGCCCTCATGGTACCCAAGGAACAGAATCCAAGTATTGTGTCCTTGGCTTCATGTCCTAGGCACTCGAGAAAATGGGTCTTTCTCCTTCTCAGAACTGTTTTAATTCTTACAGGAAGCTTTCCAGATCTTGAGATGTCTTCTCCCCTCCTCTGAACCAACCCTCAGCCTGTTCTCGGCCCTTTCTCTCTGAGAAGAGCCTCTGTTCCTGGGCCCCAAGAGCCAGGGACCCTGTCTGATTGATCTGTCAGCACAACGCTGGCTAGAGGGAACTGCTCATGTCTGTCTGGGGGCGAATGACCCTCCCTGAAGCATGGGGAGAGCCACCATGTTCCCCAGACCCCACAAGAGGCTACAAGCCTCAGAGCTGCAGACAGGAGAAAGGCTGCTGACTAGGCGGAAAGTGTGTGTCAAGAAAAACTCCAACGAAGTAGTGGGAACCTGGAAGTCTGGGGATCCCCCCCAGAAATTAAGGCTCAGAGTTAAAAAAGTAAGGGAGTGGGCAGGTAGCAACTATGCCTCCTCATTCTCTCTCCACCTCCCTGGGGTTTGAAGCAAGAATCAGCAACACCAACAGGCCCTACACATCATCGCATCACAGGGCTGAAGCAGGAGGGAGCCAGGAGCAAGGGGAGGACATCCTGCTGTGATGCTTGGCAGAGGCAGGAATGGCCACTTTCCAGATGGGAGTTTAGAGCTTTTTCACCCAGGGTCAACTGCACCCCTGATTGGGATAAAAATAGTACTTCCTCTTCCCTTCTCCCATCATTCTCTTTCACTTCCAACTTCCCAGACTCAGATCAGTTATGTCCATCCGCCCTGGAGCTCCATCCCAGATGATGGACACCCCCGCACTTATCTGTCCACTCTCATCACTCCTTGCATGTCCATCTGGATTCCCTGGGTGATTCTCTCTCTTTCTCTCTGTCTCTCTGGAGATTCTTGTCATTGGGTCTGCCCCAGAAACCAGAAGACTTCCTGAGTCCTCCGAGTCCAGCCTGTCCATCACCCTGCTCCAGGCGAGGTGGTCACAGCCTCAGCTGTCACTCCCTTCTGGGACCCAGCCCTGCCACCGCCTTGCTGAGAAACCATGGGCAGTGAGTGTCTTATTCTCTCTGGGCCTCAGAAGCCTCATCCTCGTGGCATGAGGCACTGGACTTGGTGGTTTCTGGTTTTTTAACACCTGACTGTCCATGTGCCTGGTCTCCAGGAAACACACTCCCAGTGAGGCAGAGGCTGCTGGCGGACAGCGTGGCAGAGTCAAGCACCACCAACTTCCCAGGAAAGAGGTGACCCAGCTGCACTGCGTGCCTCCCACCTGACCTCCAGTGAGGATCTTCTCTCCCCAGCCCACAAAGGGCCGCAGTGTCCCCAGGGAGCCTGGCGCTCCCCCCGCCCGACCCCACAAAGCCACAGCCACCTGCTATCAGGCCTCCCACCCCCGCCCCACGCCTGTGTCCCGCTCCCAGAACTCCTTACCTGCCCAGCCCAGGAGCCCTCTGGCCCCATTCACATGGTCCTCCTGGCCTAACCTGGCTGCCTGGACAGTCTCAGCTCCCCTTGCCGTCGTAGCCACCGCCTGTCTCCCCGCGCCCACGTCCCACCCTGACTTCCTGCCTCCTCCTGAGGGCTCCGCAGCCAACCGGGCCCCAGCAGCCCAACCACAAGCCTCTAGCACCCCAAGCTTCCTGCCACCATAGACCCCTGCCTCTCAGCCCCTGGGGGTCCCCTACACCTCCAGGCCAGGCCCTACTACCCCTGAGGGTGACACTGGGAGGTTAAAGTCGAGGGGAGGATGTCTGATAGACCATCCCTCTGCCCTCTAGGGTGCATCTGGGCAAGAGATTCAAGGGCAGCCTTCGGCCCCAGTGAGCAGGGGGCAAGCAGACCCGCACTCAGCTGATGGTGAGAGGCCAGCAGCCCCGCAGCACCACCGCTGCAGCTGAGTGACCCTTTTCTTTCTGTCTGGCAGCAAAGGTAGCATCAGTCAGAGGACAATATCCCTGTTAAATAGCTGGCCAGCAGAGCATGCATGTCACAGTCAGGTCAGGCGGAGAGAACAATTCCCATGTCATCCCAGGCACAGGACAGTAGCTTTATTATAGTCAAGGATAGGCGAGTGGTAGGCAGAATGCTGGAAGAATTTCCTCTCATAGACAGAAACGGTGGCTCCTGTTTAGGAGGCAAACAGGACAACCTCATGTCTCCAAGAGGCTCTGCTGTAGTCAGAGGCCAGCACAACACCCACTAATCATGGTGGGAGCATAGGGCAACACTTCGAATGCAGGTAGAGGCAAGGCCACAGCCCCTGGCAGAGGTGGAGGGCTTGGCACCATCTCCTGCAACAGGTGGAAGACAGCGCAAACAGGCCTGCTCAGGCCCCCAGGTGCAGGCCACAGACTGTCAGGGCTTTCTGTTATAGGCAGGCACCAAGAAGATTGTCACAAGCAGCAGGCAGTCAAAGAATTTCCATTTCCCCTGGGACTAGGCTGAGGGGGGTGCCCATCATTAGCTGAGGGCCAGGTCACCAGTGATATGAGGAACTCCCGGTGGCCTCATCAGGTCCAAGAACTAGGCCTTGACCCCACCAGGAGGAAAGTGCAAATGCGTCACTGCCTGAGTGAGCTGGTAGGGGGAGGGGAACCCACAGAGCATTGTTGGGGTTTGTGAGGTGGAAGCGAGGCTGTGATACTGTGCGCACCTCAGCTGCAGTGGCGGGGCAGGAAATGGGTTGGGGGAAGAGGAAGCCTGAGTTGGAAAGTCAAAGAGGGTAACACAGAAACAAAGGCTGAGAGAGACAAAGTAAAAAACCTACAGAGTGACACCGAGCTCAGAGGTGGAGTGCCAGGGCTGGTGCAGGGCCCAGCCTCCCTTGCAATGTAAGCCTGAACACTTCATGGTCCATCTCCGAGTCTCAGCACAGAGTAGAAACACTGCAGCGCTGGGAGTGAGTAATAGGGCTCGCTGTGCACTATTTCCCTTAAGGCACATCCGCCACCTGTGGAGTGAGAATCAGCATCTCCATTGTGGAGGTGAGGAAACAGACGCAGGGGTTAAGGGGGTTCCTTAGGGTCTAATAGAAATAAACAGTGGTTCAGGCCTGTTATTCTAACACTTTGGGAGGCAAGGCGGGTGGATCACTTGAGGTCAGGAGTTCAAGACCAGCCTGGCCAACACGGTGAAACCCTGTCTCTACTAAAAATGCAAAATTATCCAGGTGTGGTGATGCGCCTGTAATCCCAGCTACTTGGGAGGCTGAGGCAAGAGAATCACTTGAACCCAGGAAACAGAGGTTGTAGTGAGCTCAGATCCCACCATTGCACTTCCAGCCTGAGCAACAAGAGCAAAAAAAAAAAAAAGGCCGGGCGCGGTGGCTCACACCTATAATCCCAGCATTTTGGGAGGCCGAGGCGGGTGGATCACGAGGTCAAGAGATTGAGACCATCCTGGGCAACATGGTGAAACCCCATCTCTACTAAAAATACAAAAATTAGCTGGGCATGGTGGCGCATGCCTGTAGTCCCAGCTACTCGGGAGGCTGAGGCAGGAGAATTGCTTGAACCCAGGAGGCAGAGGTTGCCGTGAGCCGAGATCGTTGCATTGCACTCCAGTCTGGGTGGGTAACAACAGGGAAACTCCGTCTCAAAAAAAAAAGAAGTATAAAAAATTAGCCAGGCATGGTGGCGGCTGCTTATAATTCCAACTACTCAGAAGGATGAGGCAGGAGAATCGATTGAACCTGGGAGATGGAGGTTGCAGTGAGCAGAGATCACACCACTGCACACACACAAAAGGAGAATAACAAAAAAAGAAATAAACGAGGAAGCTGCCTTTAAATCCACGTCTCCCAGATGCTGCATTCTTCAGCATGCCAATTTACCTAAGTCACCTCCCATGGGCCTGCAGTGGACTAGGGTGGTCCCAGCGACAGGCCACGTTCAGACAGCGGCTCTGGGCCTGAATAAACGACTGCAAGAGACCTTGATGGGAAGCGGACAGGACGTTTATTGAGGATTTGTGGGTGTGAGCTCCTTCTCCTCCCCCTCCCAGCTGGCAGCAGAGGAAACAGGATGCTAGGGTTTTGCACTCTTGGAATTCAGCTCTCAGAAGCCTGAATGTTTCTGCTCCCCCGCCAGGAGCTGGTGCCTCTGGGGCACCCCTCCCTTCCCTCTTCTCAGGCAGGCAGGGGAAGCGGCAGTGGGAGAGGGGGCGGGGAAGCTGGGGGAGGGGCGGCCCACAGGTGTTCCTCAGCAGAGAGTGAAGCGCCTGGCGCTGATGTTCATGCGCGTGAGGCCCAGGTGCCGCAGCAGTGGGGCTAGGGCCGGGCCGTACCCCGGCTCCAGCTCTAGCTCCAGCTCGGCCTCATCCAGCAGCTCCTGGTGCAGGTGACAGGCCTGGTCCATCTTCAGCCGGTGCAGCTGGGCCCGCAGCCGCAGCAGCTGCCCTGCCAGCTGCCGGTCCTGCGCCTGCATCTCCCGCTGCGGCCGAGAGGGGGCGTGAGCCTGACGGACAGGCCCTCGGCCGCGCGCCGTTCCACCCTTGCTGGCAACCCTGGGCCTTTGCACTGGCTGTGTCCTCCCCGGGGGGGACGGGGGGCGGGGCGGCCGGCGGTGGGGGCGGCCCTCTCATCTCAGCTTGATCCCTCCCCATCTCCCAATCTTGCTCCACCTGGTGGTTCTCAAACCGGGCTAAAGAGTCATTATTAAGCAAATCCAGCTGCCTGGGACCCATCCTAGATCAACTAAGCAGAATCTCTGCTTTGGAGCCTGGTTATCTTTCTATTTGCACGTGTTGGGTTGGGAGCCACCTATTCAAATTCCCATCTTCAGAATCTGCCTGTGGCATTACCAGGGCCTCCTTTTGAACTTCACTGTATCTCTGGGGCATAGCAAGTCCCAGAGTAGGGGAGGCAGGGTCTTTCCCTATCTATCATGGTGCTCCACACTCCCCAATGGCAGGGCTCTGTCCCCTAAGCCACAGAAGCACAAGGTAGTAGATTGGATGGAATCCTTCAGCAAGGCTCCCTGAATACAGCACTGGACAAGTCCATTCCTGGCTCCTCAGCCCAGGATACCTGAGTGGGCAGGTGCTGGAGGCAGGGTCCATTCTCATCCCTTCCCCATGCCTGTGGTCTTGGGCCCTAGGGAGGACTAGCCCAAAGGCCCTGTGCAAAGCTGCCCACCCCACCAGACTCACCAGCTCTCGTCGGAGCCACTCAAGGGCAGAGTCCATTGAGTCGAAGCCACCGATGGCCCCAGATCCCCTTGGTCCAGGTTTGGCTTGGGCCCTGCGCCAGGCCTGGCTCTGGACCTGGGCTGTCCACTCCAGATATGAGGGCCGCCGAGTCTGCAGCTGAAGCTTGGCTGTGAGTGCCTTCACAGAGTCCAGGCTCTCCCCCTCCTCATCCTCTTCGTCCTCTTCGCCCACCGCCTGGAATTTCATTTGTCCCAGGGACATGGCAGGTTTGAGGTGAGTGACAGGGCAGAGCTGCAGCTCTGGGATGAGGGAAGGGCTGGCAATATTGCCCAGGGAGAGGTGGTAGAAGCTGAGGGTGAGAAGAGTGTTCCAGGGAGTGTGTGATGGTCAATGTTCAAGGTGGGCGAGGGGGGCTGAGTGTGCCAGGATGAGTGAGCAGATGGCTGTGTGTGAGGCCAAGTGTGTAAGGGCTGGAATTTTCCTGGACTGCTAACTTGGGAGCCACGTGATACCCATCTGGGTGGGGGCCGGAGGAACCCTGCTCCTCTGGCCTTTTGGATGAATTTTATTGTCTTTGCCCAGAAGGAGACACCCAGTTCCCAGAAAGGAAGTTGCTCCAGGATGAGAAAAGCATCATTCACACCAGAGTCTTGGCCCTCTTCCCAAGACCCAAGTAAAGGGAGCTGAGATCCGGGAGGAGGCTGCCTAGCCACCCCTTGTCCTTACTTGTGACACTAGACCTTAGGCAAAGGACTAGCCTCCAGGGCCCTGGCCTGGGAGTCAGGAGACCTGGGTTCTAGTGCTGGCTCTGTGGAACCTTGGGCAAGTCACTGACCTTCTCAGCTCTGTTGGGGCAGATCAAGGATTTCAGGCTAATACTCTAAGGAGCTATAGGTTCCTCAAGGGCTGCCTTCAGGGGAAGGGCAGAGCTGTGGATCAGGTCCTTGCCCTCCCTCTCCCTGCCCCTCCCAGGGCTTCAACCAGAGCAGTTTGCTTTTTTAAACTTTGTTTTGAAACATAACATACACACAGAACAATTGTATCTATCATAAATGTATGAGAGCGAGGTGGCTCATGCCAGTAACCCCAACACTTTGTAAAGCCAAGGCAGGCAGATCACCTGAGGCCAGGAGTTTAACACCAGCCTGGACATCATGGTAAAACCCCATCTCCACTAAAAATACAAAATTAGCTGGGTGTGGTGGTGTGCACCTGTAATCCCAGCTACTCAGGAGGCTGAGGCCAGAGAATCACTTGAACCCAGGAGATGCAGGTTGCAGTGAGCCAAGATCACACCATTTCCAGCCTGGACAAAAGCAGTGAAACTCCATCTCAAAAAATAAGCAAATAAATAAATAAATACATGGTTCAATGAAGTCTCCAAACTGAACACATCCATGTAACCAGCACCCAGATCAAGCAACAGAGTATTTCCAACACCTAGGAATGTCTTCAGCATGCATTGGAATCACCTAGAAAGCTTGCTGAGAGTGTTAGGCCCCACCACCAGAGTTTCTGATTCAGTATGTATGGGGCGGAGTCTGGTAATCTGCATTTCTACCAAATTCCCATCCCAGCTGCTGCTGGAATTTTACAATTTCTACTTTTTTTTTTTTTTTTTTTCTGTTTTTTTGAGGCAGGGTCTTGCTTTGTTGCCAGGCTAGAGTCTGGAGTGCAGTGGTGGGATTATGGCTCACTGCAACCTCGAACTCTTGGATTTAGAGATTCATTTGCTTGACCTCCTCAGTAGCTGGGACTTACACATGCAAGACCCCACACCCAGGTAATTTTTTAAAATTTAATTTATTTAATTTTTTTCTTTTCTTTGTGGTAGTCTCATGAGATAATTTTTTTTTTTTTTTTGAGATGGAGTTTCGCTCTTGTTACCCAGGCTGGAGTGCAATGGCCCAATCTCGGCTCACGGCAACCTCTGCCTCCTGGGTTCAGGCAATTCTCCTGCCTCAGCCTCCTGAGTAGCTGGGATTACAGGCACGCACCACCATGCCCAGCTAATTTTTTGTATTTTTAGTAGAGACGGGGTTTCACCATGTTGCCCAGGATGGTCTCGATCTCTTGACCTCGTGATCCACCTGCCTCGGCCTCCCAAAGTGCTAGGATTACAGGCGTGAGCCACCGCGCCTGGCCCGATAATTTTATTTTTAATAGAAGCAAGGTCTTCCTATGTTGCTCATGCTGGTCTCAAACTCCTGGGCTCAAGCAAATACGTATCCTTTCATGTCTGATTTCTTCCACAGAATAGTTCCAGTTTCATGATTATACTATGGTTTTACTTTTATTTATATATATAATTTGAAAGAAGGCTTGTATGTGTGTATGTAAAACCCACATGCAAAAGTCTGAAACAGAGTAGACCAGAAGGCCCTTTAAAGGTAGCAGTTAGTCTTATTCTTAGTAATCAGCACCCACAACAGTGTAGACATCAATGTTTAAGAAATGAAAATACGAGGCCGGGTGAAGTGGCTCACGCCTGTAATCCCAGAACTTTGGGAATCTGAAGTGGGCAGATCACAAGATCAAGAGATCAAGACCATCCAGACCAACATGGTGAAACCCCATCTCTACTAAAAAATATAAAAAATTAGCTAGGCATGGTGGCACATGCCTGTAGTTCCAGCTACTCGGGAGGCTGAGGCAGGAGAATTGCTTGAACCTGGGAGGCGGAGGTTGCAGTGAGGCGAGATCACCCAACTGCACTCCAGCCTGGCGCCTGGTAACAGCGTGAGACTCTGTCTCAAAAAAAAATGAAAATAAGGCCAGGTACGGTGGCTCACACCTGTAATCCCAGCATTTTGGAAGGCTGAGGCGGGTGGATCACGAGGTCAGGAGTTCAAGACTCAGCCTGGCCAGTGGTGAAACCCTGTCTCTTAAAAAAAAAAAGAAAGAAAAAGAAATGAAAATAGGCCAGGCATGGTGGCTCATGCCTGTAATCCCAGTACTTTGGGAGGCCAAGGTGGGCCGATCACCTGAGTGTGGGAGTTTGAGACCAGTGTGACCAACATGGAAAAACTCTGTCTCTACTAAACATACAAAAAATTAGCTGGGCATGGTGGTACATGCCTGTAATCCTAGCTACTCGGGAGGCTGAGGCAGGAGAATCACTAGAACCTGGGAGGTCGAGGTTGCTGTGAGCCGAGCTCACACCATTGCACTCCAGCCTGGACGACAAGAGAGAAACTCCATCTCAAAAAAAAGAAAGAAACGAAAATATATAGACTTAATAAAAGAGCTGCTAGAATAAAATAAATAAAAATAAAATGAAACAATATGACCGGGGCTCATGCCTATAAGCTCAGCACTTTGGGAGGTGGGGGTAAGAGGATCATTTGAGCCCAGGAGTTTGACACCAGCCTGGGTAATATTTTTTTTTTTTTTTTTAAGATGGGGTTTCACCATGTTGGTCAGGCAAGTCTTGAACTCCCGACCTCAGGTGATCCGCTTGCCTTGGCCTCCAAACTGCATGAGCAACCATGCCTGGCCTTTTTTTTTTTTTTTTTAGAGGTGGGGTTTCACGGCATTAGCCAGGATGGTCTCGATCTCCTGACCTCGTGATCTGCCCACCTCGGCCTCCCAAAGTGCTGAGATTACAGGCGTGAGCCACCGCACCCGGCCCATTTTTTTTTTTTTTTTTTTTAATTAGCAGGATTGAAAGTCAGAGGATGAGAAAGAAAAAAAAAATTAGCAGGGCATGGTGGCATATGCCTGTGCCCAACTACTACTTGTGAGGCTGAGATGGGAGGATTGCTTAAACCCAGAAGGGCAAAGCTGCTGCAGTGAGCCCTGGTCGTACCACTGCACTCCAGCCTGGGTGACAGAGGCAGACCCTATCTCAAAAACAAAAAAAAAAGCTTCTCTGCCTATGAAGTGCCTTTAGTCTTTTTTTTTGAGACGGAGTTTTGCTGTTGTTACCCAGACTGGAGTGCAATGGCACGATCTCGGCTCACTGCAACCTCCGCCTCCTGGGTTCAAGCAATTCTGCCTCAGCCTTCCGAGTAGCTGGATGCACCACCATGCCCAGCTAATTTTTGTATTTTTAGTAGAGACGGGGTTTCACCTTGTTGACCAGGATGGTCTGGATCTGTTAACCTTGTGACCCACCCGCCTTGGCCTCCCAAAGTGCTGGGATTATAGGTGTGAGCCACCGCGCCTGGAATTTTTTTTTTTTGAGATGGAGTTTCGCTGTTGTTACCCAGACTGGAGTGCAATGGCACGATCTCGGCTCACTGCAACCTCCGCCTTCTGGGTTCAAGCAATTCTCCTGCCTCACCCTCCTGAGTAGCTGGGATTACAGGCACGTGCCAACATGCCCAGCTAATTTTTGTATTTTTAGTAGAGACGGGGTTTCACCATGTTGACCGGGATGGTCTCAATCTCTTGACCTCGTGATCCACCTGCCTCGGCCTCCCAAAGTGCTGGGATTATATGTGTGAGCCACCCTGCCCAGCCATTTTTTTTTTTTTTTTTTTTTTAATGAGAGAGGGTTTCACTGTCATCCAGCCTGCAGTGCAGCAGTGAAATCTCAGCTCACTGCAACCTCCAACCCCCAGGCTCAAGTGATCCTCCCACCTCAGCCTCCCTAGTAGCTGGGACCACAGGCACGCACCACGCTTGGTTAATTTTTTGTGTTTTGCATAGAGCTTGGGTTTTACCATGTTGCCCAGGCTGGTCTCAAACTCCTGGGCTCAAGCGGTCCTCCTGCCTTGGTCTCCCAAAGTGCTGGGATTACAGCCATGAACCACCACTACCCTCTATATACCTTTATTCTTTTTTTGAGACGAATCTTGCTGTCACCCAAGCTGGAGTACAGGGGTGGATCTCAGCTTACTGCAACTTCTGCCTCCCGGGTTCAAGTGATTATCCTGCCTCAGCCTCCCAAGTAGCTGGGACTACAGGTGCGAGCCACCATACCCGGCTAATTTTTGTATTTTTAGTAGAGATGGGGTTTTGCCATGTTGGCCAGACAGGTCACCTCAAGTGACCTGTCTGCCTAGACCAGAAAAGTGTTGGTATTACAGGCATGAGCCACCTCGCTTGGCAATTTTGTGGGTGTGTGTGTGACAGTCTTGCTCTGTTGCTCAGGCTAGAGTGCAGTGGTGCGATCTCAGGTCACTGCAGCCTTTGCTTCTCAGGTTCAAGGGATTCTCCTGCCTCAGGCTTTCGAGTAGCTGGGACTACAAGCACACATCACCATGCCTGGCTATTTTTTTTTTTTTTTTTTTTTTTCCGAGACGGAGTTTCGTTCTTGTTACCCAGACTGGAGTGCAATGGCACGATCTCGGCTCATCGCAACCTCCGCCTCCTGGGTTCAAGCAATTCTCCTGCCTCAGCCTCCCGAGTAGCTGGGACTACAGGCACGCACCACCATGCCCAGCTAATTTTTGTATTTTTAGTAGAGACGGGGTTTCACCATGTTGACCAGGATGGTCTCGATCTGTTGACTTCGTGATCCACCCACCTCAGCCTCCCAAAGTGCTGGGATTACAGGCGTGAGCCACTGCACCCAACCCTATTCCTTTATTCTTAATATAAATACATACATACATACATACATACATGAGGCTGGGCATGGTGGCTCATGCCTGTAATCCCAGCACTTTGGGAGGCCACGAGGCAGGAGGATTGCTTGAGGCTTGGAGTTGATGACCAGCCTGGGAAAAGCAAGGAGACTCCATCTCCACAAAGACATTTAAAAAAGAAAAAGAGGCCAGGCGCCGTGGTGGTCTTTTCCCCCATGCTGTAGTGCAATGGCGCGAGATCTCGGCTCACTGCAACATCTGCCTCCCGGGTTCAAGCAATTCTTTTGCCTCAGGCTCCTGAATAGCTGGGATTACAGGCGCCCACCACCATGCCCAGCTAATTTTGTATTTTTAGTAGAGATGGGGTTTCACCATATTGGCTCGGATAGTCTTGATCTCCTAACCTCGTGATCCGCCCACCTCGGCCTCCCAAAGTGCTGGAATTACAGGCGTGAACCACCGTGCCCTGCCAATTTTGTGTACTTTTAGTAGAAACGGGGTTTTACTATGTTAGCCAGGCTGGTCTCGAACTCCTGACCTCCAAAAGTGCTGAGATTACAGGAGGGTGCCACTGCAACCGGCCTTTCTTTCTTTTAAAAGTCAGCAGTAGTGCTAGCACCTCAGGGCTTAAAAAACAAACAAACAAAAATATTGAGTGCCTCCTGCAACCGAGGCACGGGGTTAAGGACCTTAGGCAAGATTATTCTCCCCATTTCACAGATGGTGAAATGGAGATTTGTTTATTACAGTCTCTGGCCAGAGACCTCGCTAAGAGATACTGGCAATATGAGGGAATATTCCTGTGAAACTGTGATCCCTTCCTCTGAAGGCCTCTTTAACAGCTATCTAGCCGGCGGCGTCGACGGCAGCCTTCCAGACAGTTCCAGTCCCTTTCGAAGCCCTAGCCTGCCCCTCCGGAGGCTCCCAGAGTTAGTCCTTGTGCTGGGCCCCGGGTCTCTCACTGGCAGAATGGAGTTCTCCGAGCTGACGCTGTGTGTCACTGGCCACCACCTGCTGCTGTCGCGGGGGAGGGAGGGCATCGTCTCGGGACCTGTGACTGCTGTTGCTTAGCATCAAGAAGCGGTGAGACGTGGCGGGGGCGTCCCCGGAGTTGGGGAGCGCGCGACTCGGCGAGGTAGGGGAAACTGCCAGCGCAGTCGGAACTGGCGCCTTCCGGCGTAACGCCCAATTCGAGAAACTCTTGCCTCTCTCCTGGGAGGGGACAACGAGTCCCAGAGAGGGCCAGCAACTTTCGTTGTCCCAAGAGAGGGGCTACCCGTTTCCGGGATTGGGCCTTACGCATCAGGGCCATCACCCGGCGTTATGAAGGAGGGCACCATCCTCCCCTTAGCGAGGGACACTAAGCCTTGGCCCGTCCCTTCCAGGGTTGCAGGTGACTCTGGCACCATCACCCTGCGCTGTAAGGACCTGCGGGTGCTGCAGCTGGAAATAGAGGACTGGGAAGCGACGCTGGACATCGCCCGCTCCATCGAGGTGTGCCAAGGGCGCGCCCGAGCCCTTGAAACTATCCCTGTCTCGCGTGGAGGGGAATAAAAAGGCGCTACTGGGCCGGGCGAGTTGGCTCACGCCTGTAATCCCAGCACTTTGGGAGGCTGAGGCGGGTGGATCACGAGGTCAGGAGATCGAGACTATCCTGGTCAACGTGGTGAAACCCCGTCTCTACTAAAAATACGAAAAATTAGCTGGGCATGGTGGCGTGTGCCTGTAATCCTAGCTACTCAGGAGGCTGAGGCAGGAGAATTGCCTGAACCCAGGAGGCGGAGGAGGTTGCGGTGAGCCGAGATCGGGCCATTGCACTCCAGCCTGGGTAACAAGAGCGAAACTCCGTCTCAAAAAAAATAAATAAATAAACGGTGCTATTGTTCAAAGAGGCTCCGCAGCCACAGCTAAATGGCAGGGGGCTGCAGGGTGGTCCGGGGTACGTGGAGAGGCCGAAGCTGAAGCTACAGGGGCTGAGGGGCTGGAAAGGGCGCGGGCGAGACGATTCCGACCATCCCCAGAGCCCCTGACTTCCTTCTCCAGGCGCTGTCTTCCCTGGAATTGGCCATCACCTCCTGCTCGTTCTTCTACCATCCCAACTGCCTGAGACTGGACGACTCCTGGCACTTTCTTTCGCCCGAACGCTACTACAAGCGAGTAGCTCTTGAGGTGGGCGCGGTCGTGGAGGCCCGCGGAGGTGGAAGCTGGGCCCGGAAGAGGCGCGGGAAGAGGCGCAGGGACAGGGCACTCCCTGGGTGCCCTAGACCTGGCCTCTCTCCTCCCTGCGCCGCAGACCAACGCGTGACGGCTGAGCGAGGTGAACGAGGACTTCAGCTTCTGCCCCAGTTACCCCGTGCCGTGATTGTCCCACGCTTGGTGGACGATGATGACCTGGCGCACAGCGCCCGCTTCCGTCAGGGAGGCCGCTTCCCGGTGCTCAGCTACCACCACGCTCCCAGCGGAACCTTGAGTGTGACTTCCCCACACTCCGCCCCTGGGCAGCTGAGTCTTTTCTGGACCCTTTCTTTTTGGCCAGGCCAATTCGCTGCTTGGCCACGGCCCCGACTCCTGGCCCATTCTGGCCCCGCCCCTCTCCCGCCTTTTCGGAGGGAGGGGGTATCACCTTTCTTGGGCCCCGCCCCTGGCGGTTCTGGGCCCTGTGCGAAGCTTAGTGCCTTCTTTGTTAAGTCAGGACCTGCCCACGTTCTATTCATAGGGTCCCAATCCACTCTAGCCACAACACCCCCAGACTGGTCTGAAGCCTCTTTAGTTCCGGCCTGGTGGCTGGGCTCCAGCCTGTCGGTGTGCAGACCAGGCCTAGGGGACCCCCTCAGGCAAGGGGGGCCACTTCCAGAGCTTAATCCTATCCACGGTTCTTCTACGCTCCAACCAGCCCCTGACCGGTACCCAGAAGAGGCCCAGCGAGGAGGACCAGGAGCTGCTGCGAGCTGTGCTAGTGGGGGCTTGCCCTAGTTCTCGGGGCTTCATCGTGGACACGTGCTCAGCCCAGGCCTCAAAACAGACCCGCGTGACTGGCGGAGGCACTTAGGCCAAGGTTGCACCGGCCCCCTGGAGAGGTAGGGGGCCTCCCACCCTCTCCCAGGTCCTCTCCTGCAGGGCTCTATGAATGTACATATGTGAGTGTGTGTTGGGGTGAGGGGGTCCGCCAGGAACCTTGAAGACTCAAGCCTTTCCTGGTGTCATCCCTCGATGTGGGCCTCCCTACTTGTACACCACCACCAAGAGAGCTCCTTACTCTCTAGGCACCCCAACTTTGCCTGGGAAGAAAAAGCACCTCTTTACATTAAACTGAAATGTCTTCCTGGAACAGCCTCTGCCTACACACATGCACCCCTCCCTGAGTTCTGCACCTGCACAGACATAATCTGGTCCCTCTGTCTCCAGGTGATGGCAATGCCAAGAAGTCCTGAGGGAGTTTTGTGCTTTGAGGAGAGTAGACTGCTTCTCTACCCAAAATACACAACTCTGTATTCATTCATTTACCCAGCACTGAGCCCAGGGGCTGCCGTGGTGGCCAGCCCAGACATGACCGAGACCAGTGGCGGTCAGTCGGGATCCCCTGAGATGAGCAGCAACATACAGGAGGTGCCCTTCTCTTACTAAGGCCACTTCAGGTAATCAGAGGTTTCCCTGAGAATAGGATGTTTTAGCTGAGACTGAAAAGTGTGGGAGTGAGCCAGAAGAAGGCAGACAGACCCTGCATGCGGAGGGAACTGCAGGTGTCCAGGTGCAGAGACAGTCTGGTCATTTGTCCTGTTTGGGGGAAACAGTCTCTGTAAAAAATACAAAAATTAGCTGTGCATGGTGGTGCACACCTGTAGTCCCAGCTACTCAAGAGACCTAGGTGGATGGCTTGGACCCAGGAGGTAGAGGTTGCAGTGATCTGTGATAATGCCACTGCACTCCAGCCTGGGTGAGAGCAAGACTCTAGTCTCAAAATTAGCTGGGCACAGTGGTGTGCACCTGTAGGCCCAGCTAGTCAAGAGGCTGAGGTGGGAGATCACCTGAGCCCTGGGAGGTAGAGGCTGCAGTGAGCTGTGATCACACCACTACACTCAGGCTGGCTGAATGAGACCTTGTTTTTAAAAAAAATAGTTGTATAAGTGTGGTCTCTTTCTCAAGATATCTTACTTTACTCATCCTTCTTGTGATAAGGTGAGATGCTTAAATGCCCACATGATGAGATGTGGTGAGCGACATTGGCCTTGTAATGCAGCCATAGGCTCCTATTGACCTTGAACGCAAGCCCACTACAGTACCGCCATGGTCGCTCTGATAACCAAGACAGCTACTAAGTGACTAACAGACAGCGAGTGTGTGCAGCATGGATATGCTGGACAGAGGGAGGATTCCCACCCAGCGGGACAGAGCAGGTTAACTCAAGATTTCATCACGACATTCAGAAGGGCTTACAATTTAAAATTTATGAATTGTTTATTTCTGGAATTTTCCATGTAATATTTTCAGGCCACAGTTGACCATGGGTAACTGAAACCTCGGAAAATGAAACCATGGATGGAGGCGACTAATGTCCTTCAGTATGGTGGGATTGTCGAGTATGAAGTGGGAGGACAAATGAGGCTATGGGGATCACGGGGAAGAAAAGACGTCTGGAAGGCCATGGTATGAGCTTAAACTTTATCCTCAAGGTGGCAGGGAGCCATTGAAGGTTTTTTTTTTTTTTTTGAGATAGAGTCTCACTCTTGTTACCCAGGCTGGAATGCAATGGCGCCATCTCGGCTCACTGCAATCTCCCTCCCTTCCTCCCTTCCTCCCTCCCTCCTTTTCTTCCTTCCTTCTTCCAAATACTTCACTGATCCCCTGCTGGGTGGTGGGCACTGTGCAAGTCCTGGGGACATAGAAAGCTATGCCCTAGGGCTGTCTGGAGATGGGGCGGGGGTGAGAGCCCAGCGCTGTATCCACTCTGACCCGCAGCCCATGAGGGGTGTGTTCAAGCGATTCTTCTGCCTTGGCCTCCCTAGTAGCTGGGATTACAGGCATGTGCCACTGTGCCTGGCTAATTTTTGTATTTTTAGTAGAAATGGGGTTTCCCCACGTTGGTCAGGCTGGTCTCGAACTCCCAACCTCAGGTGGTCCGCCCACCTCAGCCTCCCAAAGTGCTGGGATTACAGCTGTGAGCCATAGTACCTGGCTCCACTAAAGGCTTTTAAACAGCGCTGAAAAATCTCTGTTAGATTTTCTGGTGGGAGGTCACTGGTGACCTTGAGCAGAGCAGTTTCTGGGAGGTAGGAGCATACGCAGAATTCCAAGAGGACTGTGTTTCTCTCATTAGACTGGGGGTCCCTCGGGAGCACTCTGTTTCTCCCATCACTCGGGTATTTCAAGGGCACTGTGATACTCCCATCAAATTGGTGGTTTTCCAGGGCATTTTGTGTTTCCCCAGAGGGCTATGCAACAAGCCCTCCCTGGGTGCTTTCTCAAAATGTCTTGAGTCTCTCCCATCAGATTGAGGAATCCTCAAAGCTAAGAAACCATTTCATCCACAGAATGAGAGCCTGTCTCAAAGATTAGGAGCTCCTCCGTAGGTTGTGTGTGCTGTGAGACTGGGCTCCCCAAGGGGCTCTGTGTCCCTTTTATCAGATGGGCTTTTTTCTTTTTTTTTTAGATGGAGTCTCTCTCTGTCACCCAGGTGGGAATACAGTGGTGCAATCTCAGCTCACTGCAACCTCCACCTCCCAGGCTCAAGTAATTCTCCTGCCTCAGCCTCCCAAGTAGCTGAGATTACAGGTGCCTGCCACTGTGCCCGGCTAATTTTTGTATTTTTAGTAGAGATAGGGTATCACCATTGCTGGCCAGGCTGGTCTCAAATTCCTAGCCTCAAGTGATCCACCTGCCTTGGCCTCCCAAAGTGCTAGGATTACAGGTATGAGCCACTGTGCCTGGCCAGATGGGCTCTTTACAGGGTTCTGTGTCTCCCTCATTGGTCTCGAGCACTTGCTCCCAGGCTGTACTTACTTGCCAAGGGCTTGGGCTGGGGAAGATGACCAGACTCCCACTGCCCAGAGGGCAGCCCCTGCAGGACAGCTTCATGCACCTGGTGGAGGCTTGTGGGGATTTGGAGCAGCGTATGGACCACTGGCTGAGTCAGCTGGACAGCTGCTGTTGGCTGTCACATATAAAGGAAGCACTAGCATCACCTGCCTGGCAGCCCCAGGCATGGAGCCCCCTTAACACAGAGACAAGGGTGGGATGGGCAGGGCTCTCAACCCCTGGACACAAAATTCATTCAGTAAGCAAATATAGCCTAGAACTGGGTCCATTTTATTCCTGTCCTGGTGACCCTGGGAGGGAAGGACTAGGCCACTGCTGATGAGCCCTGGGCCCACAGGGAAGGGGCCTGCATTCTGGTACATGGGGCTGAAGGCACAGACAGCACCCTGCTTGTGACTTCACTGGCCCAACTCATCCTGGACTGCTTGAGCAGGACCAGGGGCTAGTGGAGCAGGAGTGGATCCAGGTAAGTAAGTGACCACCCAACTCCGGCCTCACCCTCCATCCAGAAACCTTGCTTCCTCGTGCCCATTGCTCTTCCCCAGTCCCCAGGCCAGTCACCCCTTCCAGCTGCGCTGTGCCCATTCGGCCTTCTCCCATGCCTGCCCCAAGCATGAGGCATCCGCCTTTCTCCTCTTCCCGGACTGCGTGTGGCAACTGGGCTGCCAGTTCCCACTATGACTGGAGTCTGGGGAAGGGCTACTGTTGGCGCTGTATGAGTGCACCTATGCTTCCCCTTTTGACACCTTCCTCTGCATCAGCGAAAAGGAGAGGTGAGCTGAGGGGGTGTTGAGGTGGGTCGGGGCAGGCACAGGAAAGGGTTGGATATCTGCGGCATCAGTACCTTAGTTCCTTAGGAGCCATCTTTCCCTTCCAATTGACTTTGTCTTTTAGGAAAACCAAGTGTCATCCCTGCTCCTACCTCCAAATCTCATACTTCCTCCTAACTTCTGCAAACCCAGAGATAGATAGGGCCAAGGCCAATCCTTTAGATTTTTTTTTTTTTTTTTTTGAGATGGAGTCTCACTCTTGTTGCCCAGGCTGGAGTACAATGGTGCCATCTTGGCTCACCGCAACCTCTGCCTCATGGGGCTACTCTGTCCATAGCCAATTACAAGTGACCCCTGTCTTGAAAACAAGGATTAAAGGAGAAAGTTACTGCAAAAATAATTTCTGGGGCTCTCTATCACTTTGCAAGGTTGATTTTAATTTTAAAAAATTTTTATTTTATTTTTTTTTATTAAAGACGGGGTTTCACCATGTTGGTCAGGCTGGTCTTGAACTCCCGACCTCAGGTGATCCGCCTACCTTGGCCTCCAAAGTGCTTGGATTACAGGTGTGAGCCACCATGCCCGGCCAAGGTTGATTCTTTCAAAGTAATAGAACAGAGGTTGAAAGCAGAGTGGAATCATTTGGGCTAAATTCCTATTTCACCACTCTCTCCTGCTGGGTGTTCATAGCAAACCTGTCAGTCTGTCTCGTTGGTAGCATGAAGGGGATAAGAGTAGCCATAACCTGCCCAGGTTGTGGTGGCTCACACCTGTAATCCCAGCACTTTGGGAGGCTGAGGTAGGCAGATCACCTAAGGTCAGGAGTTCAAGACCAGTCTGGCCAAAATGGTGAAGCCCCATCTCTACTAAAAATACAAAAAGTTAGCCAGGTGTGATGGTGCACACCTGTGATCCCAGCTACTCGGGAGGCTGAGGCACAAGAATTGCTTGAACCCAGGCAACAGAGCGGGACTCCATCAAAAAAGAAAAAAAGAAGTGGTATTTTTTTTTCTTTTTTTGAGACGGAGTTTCGCTCTTGTTACCCAGGCTGGAGTGCAATGGCTGGATCTCAGCTTACCGCAACCTCCACCTCCTGGGTTCAGGCAATTCTCCTGCCTCAGCCTCCTGAGTAGCTGGGACTACAGGCCTCCATGCCCAGCTAATTTTTTGTATTTTTAGTAGAGACAGCGTTTCACCTTGTTGACCAGGATGGTCTCGATCTCTTGACCTCGTGATCCACCCGCCTCGGCCTCCCAAAGTGCTGGGATTACAGGCTTGAGCCACCGCGTCCAGCCAGAAGTGGTATTTTTATTATTTGGTTGGCTCGCTGCATATGCTCCTAATCAGCCCCAGATGTCAGCTTTGTCTTACGACACTAAGAGATGCGGGCGGGGAGGAAGGGTTCACGCCTCTCTAGGGTGAAGATCAGACTTCGTTATTTCTGTTGCTCAGTCTTCCTCCATATCCCATCCTATTTCACTAACCCCACTAGTCCTGGATCATCTGTTTAACCTCCCTCTCCCCCATCCTTCATCTTTAGTCTTTCTCCTAAAAATGTCTGAGTTTGGTCCTCCCTTGCCAGAAGTCTCTCCCCATGTCTTCATCCACACTGGTCTCTTTCCATCTGGACTCTCTGGCAGCTGCCTCACTGCTCTCTGCATCTTCCTTGTTACCAGTTTTCTTTCAAAAGCTCCTGGGT